ATACCTACTCTCCACAAACCAATTACATACCATACAATAACCAGTCATTAACTATCCAAGCAGTTAGATATACGACCAACTTTCCTTGGACTGGCTCACTCACCACTCCTATAAAGATGAAACACTGCTACCTTCTATAACATCCACACCCAACATATACCCTCGTATTTTTTTTAATTAAAAAATTAAATCAATCACTCCTAATTCTTACATGTCAACACTCATTCATCTACTGAACTCGCAAAGTAAAAGAAGCAGCATATAAAGCAATTAAAATCCCTAATAAACAATAATAATTTCATTAAAGGTGGCCGAGTGGTCAACAGCGCTCGCATTTACCGATCTCTGCCATCTCAGCTCTGTCCGTGTGCGTTCGAATCTCGATGTCGGCAAATACATATGTATGAGAAAAAGTCGAAGAAGCTTCTCGTGGGTCGTTGGTTCTTACTGGAGTTTTCCCGGGTTTTACCCCACCGACTATACAGACCGCCACGTATATCCTTTACTGTGTTATAAGATGGCGTCAAACTCAAAATAAGTTGACTATTATCTCTCTAGTCATCCTATAATCTCAAATGGTCTGGACAAGGGGTTTGAGGGATAATCGAATGCCCCCACCCATTTTGAGCTGAAACACTCTTCATTTTTAGTACAAAAAAAAATAATAAAGAAAGATAGGTATTTCATGCAAACGGTACAAGAATCGAGTCACAATTAAATCGGCTCTGTTACAAGCTAGGGGTCTTTTACTTGACCGAGCGGTGTCAAAACCCTGGGCTCGAAATCCCGCTAGAAATTATTCGTTTCCCCCATATTTTCAAAGGCTTCTATACAACTTCAGTTGTAAGTCGGAAAGCCAGAAATGTCCATTCTTTACATAAATTTTACAATAATCAATACAAGACCACATTATTTACAACTTGCAATTTAGCAATCAAACGCACAACCCCACAGTTTCTCTATATTACCTTTCCGTTCTGCTTGTAATTCACACCGTAGAAACTGTACAACTATCCCTAACATGGGGAACTATTTTAACGGCCTACCTAAGGCCAGTCAGACTACCGTTTCAAGGCACATCACACTAGTATACCTACTCACATTTGCCGCTATGGCAACATATACGGTATCTACCGAGTACTTTCTCATTTATCCCATTGTGTAATTTACTGGTTTACTACCATAAAATACTGCCGCTGCAGTCACAACATCGATGTATACCACTATTTTTTTTATAAAGTGCTATATCCAGGGACAGTCATGCGGATTGGGTATGAGTTCACTACTTATTGGCTATGGCATCTCACTAACACTTTCTCTCAGTGACATTTGCTCCTAATAATTGACTAATTTTTTCGTGCTAGAGAATATTTCCCATTTCAACAAATTCAATAATCAAACATGTAATCACACAAGCCTACTAATTGCTTAAACTAAATGCGCATCTCCTTAATTTTATTAATATATATATATATATATATATATATATATATATATATATATATATATATATATATATATATATATATATATATATATATATATATATATATAACATTTGTGGTATTTACTTCGCGACCTATCGAATGCTTAAAAAAAACAAACTTGTGTATGAAATTTCAGATTATTGAGGTTGATCTCGGCGACCAACTCAAAACAACATGGCGACCCAGTTTTGGGTCGCCATCACTGGTTAAGAACCACTGTTATATGTGGTGGAAAACTTGAGTTAGTTTGTAATAAAAAGAAGCTGATTGCAGATAAACTGCCAGAGAGACTGACATACAATGTCTTAATAAAATAATCTCCGCCATATGGCGGGCGCATACTAATTTAAAAAGTTAATAAAGGCACTGAAGTTTTAATTTTACATAACTTCAAAATGAAAAATCACACAGGGAGACGTATAATTTAATTGAAATAAATATGCTTGGCAAACCCAAGCCAAACTTTTCACTTTTTATGAATTATTCTCATTTTAAAACGTGCTAGTGAATGAGAAGATATACAGATTTTGAGTCTTAGAATGAAATAAACCCTAACCGATTTTTGCTACATGGAATAGTAAGTTTGAGGTCTTTTTTGAAAGAAATAAAATTGACAGTACGGTATAACATCCCTTCTAAAAGCTTCTTAAATTGAGAAAGTAATCACGTCGTTTTTTTTTCTTATATTTTTTTTTTCAGCTTTATGTTTAAGACCAAATCCATTAAGACTAACTTCTATGCAAATGCATTGTTTTGTACAAGCTTTTTTAGCAATAACTTTTTAGAGCTTAAAGGCATCAGTGTTTAGGCCGCTTCTGTGGCCTAGTAGTTAGATCGTCCGCCTCGGATGTGGAAGGTCGTTTGGTCGCATCCATGCCAAATTGTAGACTTATTAAAATGGTACTAACAGTTGTCTCCTTTGGCAGCATTACTGGGTTTGTTTTAGGGTGCAGGGGCCAGCTTTTATGGATAAATTTAATGCGTAATCATAGACCAAGTAGTTTAAAAAATTCGTAAAAAAATTAAATACACAAGTATGGCAAAAAGTCCTTATTTTTAGATACCTGTATTAAAACAAAAAATAGCAATGCTATCTACATGACCAGAGAAGTCAATGGCAGTTTATAGCAGAAGTTTATGCACCCCATCCCCAAATTTATACTTGCAATTTTCATGTCCGATTATCATTTTTTGACAGCATGTGATGTTCACAGTGCAAACACAAGCCCTTTTCCTAGATGACAATTCTGCAAAACAGTGTATTAAAGAGGCTATTGCAATTTAAAATAGTTGTCATCCAAGCTGTTTTCGAAATATTCTACTTGCCCCAAACTCACGTATTTACTGCTATTGGATGCTAGCTCTTCTTCCTAGATGACTATTGGTATTTCCCTATGAACTTAACTGCAGATTAACTATGGAAAGTGTACATGCTTGACATCAATTTCAAGCCAGAAACACCTAGTTTACGAATATATCCTTATATGTAATTAGGAAACAATAATAGCTGAAAAAGTCACCCTATAGTCTTAAGATAAGAAATTTGCCAGGGGCCATCTTACAACACTTTACCCTGCCACCTTTGGTCTGGTGTGCCTGGTGGCAGGATAATGTGAAAGGGCGGGATATGATGCTACATATCTGCGGCATGATGCCCCTGTGCTAGACATCACAATCAACTATGACACTGCAGACATCGTAGCGATGACTGCAAAATTCTTAAAGTTACGGTAAAAATCTAAATCACACACACATGCCAGTGATCAATTTAGTTCACAACCACCTACGCTATTTTCTTAGAAATGTTCTCTTTTAATGCAATGTCAACTTAAACCGCTGATCAGATAACTTTTGCACAATTTGACGTGTTTACAGGAAACTTACATTTTTAACCATGCTAAAGACCTGTTGTTGTTGTAGGGTTTAACGCCATTTTTCAGCACAGGAAAGGCTATACATGGCGGCCAGTATTAATGGTGTAGGAAGAAACCGGGAAATCACCGGAAAGAACCACCGACCCACGAGAAGCTACTGGCAAGCTCTCTCACATATCCACATTCGCCGAATCTTAGACTCGAACCCACGCAGATAGAGGTGAGATGGCAGTGATCCGTAACGGACAGCGCTTTAGACCACTCGGGGCCCCTGCTAAAGACCTACTTGCTTTTGAATAAATTAATACAAATTACGCATAATCGCTTTTACATTAGTGCTCATTGATATATTATTTACAGGAGTTAAACGATACGCCTATGCCGTGTATTGCGATACAATCTGCATATACGAGACATATCGTTACATGGATCAACTTGAAGAGGGTGATAAGATAGAATGGAAAATAGAATTTTTAAAATTCAGAGTGGGTATTGTTTGAGTAGCCAAAGTGGCAAGCAACAAATCCCCAACACACCCTCCTGCATATGAAAAACAACTGCAGCAACCGATCAATCTCATGTTCACTTTAAAAAATAAAGGTAAACGATTAATAATTATTCATGGTAGTTGGTTGTTCAAAGTAACTTGTAAAGTGTGGTTATTTTTAAATCGATTCTCCATGTTTGGTATCAACATGCAAATCAAATCAGTAATATTACCGATGCATTGACTAATCATTTCATCCCTAATTATTCACCTGATTCCTAGGGAACTCTTTCGTTCTTATGTCTTTACTTTCAACACAGTAATTTGTTTAGCCTGCCACATGACTAAATTATTTTTCTCAGTAGCTAGTAAATAAGCAGTTTAGTCTTTAAATATTGTGATGAAAAGTAAAGTTGCTTGTAATTTGTACAATTTTCGACCTGTAGCATTCGAAAATCGTCGACGGACACACAACAGCACGTTGAAATCAAGCTGGTGAACGCTCATCACTTATCTTCATTTTGATATTTTCTCTGATGATAGTTTATCACGAGGAATGTAATTCAGTAGATAAAAATCAACTGAGCGTTACTTTATTCCACATTACATACATGTTAGGCGTGGTTTACATACTTTCTGGAACGTTTAGGTCTGCTATCTGACCATAAATGTTAAGCTGACATTCTATTATGATAGAACCTTTTCGAAAAGTTGGCGGGAGTCATACTGAACATTCTTTTGTCACAATCACTTCTCTATCGGACAACAAATGCAACATTTATCGTGAAAAAAAACAACAAACAACAACTTAAAACACACCAAAACATATTTAGACAGAGTTGGGGTGTTTGAAACTTAAGTCTATATCAAAACCCTTGTGCTCATGACAGTGCCTTAGGTATATACTCACGAGTCCATCTGCAAATTGCGCGTCTGAGTGTGATAGCTTTAACAATTTTTCAGTCATACCACAACGAAGTGTGCAGTGTCGCAATTTACAGCGATGTTACGCATTGGCGTATCATGCCTCAAGGATGTTGCGTCAGTTTCACCCAGTCACATTATCTTTACATCATGCCAACGAGTCCAAACATTAACCTCAATGATGAACGCCAAAAGAGGCAACTGCTACTACCATTTTTGTCTTTGGTATGACTTGGCCAGGGTTTGAACCCGCCATCTCCCGCATCCCAGGCGGACGCTCTAACCACTGGGCCGTCGGAGCAGTCAACTGCAAATTGCATATAACGCTACAGCATATCTGGTTTCATGCAGTTTGTTAAGAGTAATCAGTAGAACAAGCAACGTAGACGGTACCTGTTGATGTATTATGCTACGGCAAATCAGTATCTTTGTTTTTAACAGTTTGACTGGACATAATCGAGTACATCCGGTATTTAATTTTTTTTTTGTGTAAAGTACTAGAAGGCATAATTTCTCCATCAGTAAACGCACAGCAGATGTAGCTGTCGGTAATAGCAATCATCACAGTAAATGCAACAGTCGGTAATAGTGATTATCACAGTAGACGCAGCGGTCTGTAATAATGATTACCACAGTAAATGTAACTGTATAATAATCATTGCCACACTAAATACTGAAGTTGGTAATACTTACCAAAGTAAATGCAGCGATCAGTAACACTAGCGATTACCACAGTAAATACGGCAGTCGGTATTAATGATTGTCACAGTAAATGAAGTGATCCATAATAATGATTACCACTGTAGATGGAGCATTCGGTAACAATGATTACCACATTAAATACAGTGGTCGATAATAATAATGTCAATGAAGCGGTTTGTAATAATGATTACCACAGTAAATATGACAAACCAATTTGAAATATAATTTTATTACAAAAATATTACAATATCTAGAGGAAGATATTGCACTTTTCTTCGATACTGAAATAAACATTTTTTTCTGTTTAATAGTTTTCATTATTCTTGTTCCTCCCTTATAATTTCCCCATATAAATAAGGTATTTTATATTTTAAATTTACATTCGATAGCTAGCGGCTCCTTTTGCGTCATTTGATGAACGACTATGTCTTGGTTTATGTTGCCTTGTCGCACGTCACACTTCACTCATACCAAATGACTGCGGTTTGCACGAGTTACGTGGAATGCAAACACAATAAACTTGACCATGTACATTGAAATGAAATGAAAAGTATAATATTTTAATCTGAAAATCATCTAAAAGTGGCACAAAACTCCATTATCTTAAATAGTGGTTGATACATGCAAAAATGTTAGGCAGTAGAAAAAAGTGTCTGCCACGTTTTTTAAGAAATCAAAGATATTTTACAACAAGAAATTTTGCACCAAAATTTTGATATTCTGCATGGCACTGATAATTTGCTTTTCATAATGGCACTGATAATTTTCTTTTCATAAATACAAGTCCAGTTTTAACTGAAGTCTATCCAGACTTGAATAGTAAAATGGCAACTTGTCCGAGGTAGAAATAAATGAAATGCTTGGTCTCATGGGTGACGTAGCTTCCAAAGTTGCGTCCCACAATGCAGTGCCATGTTGGGTTGTACTTTTTGTCGAATTCTTTCTTGATATAGGCAGCAATGTCCTTCTCAATGTTATATTTCTCTAAAGCTTGTGTGGCACAGTCTACAGCATCCTGCTGCATGTCTTCAGCCATGTCGGCATTCTTGATGACGGCCTTTCTCTCGGACATCTTAACTAAAAACAAAAATAAAATAAATTAATGAATCAAAGTTGCTCATGTTTGCGTCGAAGAAAGGTACATTACCGTAAAAATAATATAAAGCAAAGGATTGTTTATGTGAATTAGTATGTGTGATTTGGAATTTTAAAGTATCATTAACAATTTTTCAGTCATATGGCTACGATGTCTGCAATGTATTAGTTTTTAGTGATATCTAACACTGCAGCATCATTCCGCTGACATGTACCATGATGTTCCCCTAAGTCACATTATCCCAACATCAAGCCGTGTTAGTTGTTTTTGTTATTGTTGTTATAGGGTTTAACGCCATTTTTCAGCACAAGATAGGTTTTACATGGTAGCCAGTATTAATGGTGGAGGAAGAACCCTGGAAAACCACCGAAAGAACCACCGACTCGAGAGAAGCTACTGGCAGGCTTTCTCACCCAAGTTAGCCGAACCTGGACTTAAACTCACGCAGACAGATGGCAGTCATCCGTATCGGACAGCGCTTTAGACCACTCGGGGCCCTGGCAGTTGTTAGTACCCTTTGTACAAGTCTCTGCTATGAGCAGTACCGGATGTTGGCATAAGCTAAACAAGATACAGCTTAGGGCTCTAAAGTCTGAACTCAGTCTGAAGGGACCCCTCAAATTTATTTTATACCAAATATGGCCTCTATAGCTTCCCATAGCTTAGGGCCTCGCTTTGTCAAAAATCCGGCGCTGGATAGGACTCGTCTCGGGTTCGAATCTGCGACCTCCAGCATCCGAGGCAGATGCTCTAAACACTAGGCCATCGGTGTGGTGGTGTTTATAATTGTTAACGTAGCTTTAACAATTTTTCAGTCATATCGCTACGATGTATGCGGTGTGGAAATTTATAGTGATATCTAGCATTGGGGCATCATGCCGCAGACATATAGCATGATGTCCAACCCTGTCACATTATCCTGACACCAGACCGACCAGTCCTAACACTAACCTCTTAATGCTGAGAGTCAAGCGAGGCAGCTGTTAGTACCATTTTTGTAAGTCTTTGGTATGACTCGATCGGGGATCGAACCCACGACCTCTCCTATCCGAAGCGGACGCTCTAACCACTAGGTCACTGGAGCGGTTAGTACTATTTGTACAAGTCTCTGGTATGACCAGTACCGGACTTAGGCATAAGCTAAACAAGCTACAACTTAGGTCTCCAAAGTCTGAACTCGGTCTGAAGGGACCCCTCAATTTTTTTTTTAATACCAAATATGGCCTCTATAGCTTCCCATAGCGGGCCCCGAGTGGCCGAGTGGTCTAAAGCGCTGTCCGTTACGGATCACTGCCATCTCACCTCTGTCTGCGTGGGTTCGAGTCTAGGATTCGGCGAATGTGGATATGTGAGAAAGCTTGCCAGTAGCTTCTCGTGGGTCGGTGGTTCTTTCCTGTGATTTTCCGGTTTCTTCCTCCACCATTAATACTGGCCTCCATGAATAGCCTATCATGTGCTGAAAAATGGCGTTTAGCCCAACAACAACAGCTTCCCATAGCTTAGGGCCTCGCTTTGTCGAAATCCGGCACAGGGTAGGTATGACTAGTCTGAGGTTCGAACCTGCGACCTCCAGCATCTGAGGCAGATGCTCTAAACACTAGGCCATCAGAGCGGTCTAAGCAGGCATTTTCTGTTCCTTTGTCATGGACATGTGCTCATTTCTCAAAGATTTTTTAATAAAAAAAAACTAATTTAGTTAGCGAAAACAAATATTGAAAAACGTAAGGCCAAATGCCTTGTGGAAAAGTAGACAGGTGTTTCAGGATACTGAAGTACGTCTCTCCCTCATAATCCAAAGCAACACCACCACTGACACTTTAACAACAAAACACCCCACAACTGTATGATTCGAATTTCCTCCCAGAGAAGAGTACTGTGATCTCTCAGAGTCGCGAATGGAATGACAAAAATTACAATTAGCAACGAGACGTATACCGGAACAAGCCATTGAATGTTTGGGTTTTGTGCGTATAAAAGCAACGAAACAAACAAATAAATAAAGATGCTATTTATATCACATCATTTGTTTGAATACAAGTTGCCATGGACACTAAAAATGTATCGAGTTTTTGAGAGATTATCCAACATGCACAACTTACCCAAATGTGCCAATTCCTTGTGAAGTGGAAAATGTTTGATAACTGGTTGCATAGAAACGAAACAGTCGCAAAGAAATTGTATCCAAAAATGTTGAAGAAAGTCGAAAAAAAATATGAATAGTATGAAACTCTTAAATTTAAATAGTTCCAAAATATTTCCTGAGAGAGAGAGAGAGAGAGAGAGAGAGAGAGAGAGAGAGAGAGAGAGACTGACTTACTGTATGATTCGACTTTCCACCCAGAGAACAGTACTGTGATATCTCAGAGTTGCGAATGGAATGACAAAAATTACACTTAGCAACGAGACCTATACCGGAACAAGCCATTGAATGTTTTTCTTGCTTTCCATTGGCTTAAACAGAGCACTCTACAGTGGCTTCTATCAACATTGTTGCACAGGTAGTAAAATACAATGGTAAGAGATATTTAAAAGCGGCACACATATCCCATGTTACTTCACCGGTAACCAGCCTTACCTATGCTTTTTGCCTTTAGGTGAACTAGGCAACCGAAACGTAGATAAGGAATTTATTAATTTTATTAGTTCATGCTAAGATACTTTTTACTTTTGGTCTCTTTTTAAAGCAATCGAAAACGGATTATTGCTGAATGCGATATACAAACTGAATGCATATAAAATGTAAGGATAATCAAATCTCTCTCTCTCTCTCTCTCTCTCTCTCTCTCTCTCTCTCTCTCTCTCTCTCTCTCTCTCTCTCTCTCTCTCTCTCTCGTTGTTGTTGTTGATAGCAATTATAGTCGTATGTGCATGGACGTTTGCTTGACGACTTTTGGAGTCTTTCGTAGGAGACCAGAGGACCCACCCGAAGGGTGGGCCTCCAATACCCACCTACGCGGTTGGCCATCAGCCCTGACCCGCGCTAGGGGACTTGATCTCGAGCTGGATCTTTTCGCTTCGAACTTGACCTTAAGACCCTGACTTACAACACCACGACAGGAAAGAAATCCACCCAACCCAGCAGCCAGCCAAGGGCCCCAAGAGGGCCACCCACAAATCCACGCCATCCTACTGGCTCGATTCAATTGCAATTTATCCACTTCTGTTGTAGTTTTCGTTATTTATCTCTGTTGATTGCAATTGATTTATTTAAATCCGGTCTTCTTTATAGTCAGCTATGTTCAAGGTTGTACGTTGTATAGTGTAGATTGCAATTTTTCCACTTCTGTTTTAATCTTCATTATCGTTCTCAGTTGATTGCAATGTTGTCGCAGTTGATATCTTCGTTATAGTTGGCTGGCGCCAATCATATAAAGGGTCGAATGCTTAATTGCAATTTATCCACTTCTGTGGTATACTTCGTTATTTATCTCAGTTGATTGCAATTTTCCTTGTTGTAATCTTCTTTATAGTCTGGAACAGATGTTGTTGATGCGGTAG